CATAACCATACCATTCAAATTACACAGACCAACCAAATTTGTGGGAAAATCATAATATTACAGTTAAATTACGCAATTAGATTTTCAAATTTTGTGATGGAAGCAGTCACCCGATGCTACACGCCACCAAACTCACCCACATAAACAATAAAATTAAAGAACAAAACTCACCTCAAGCTAAACCACTAAAAATACTTTCGCCTGAAAACTATTTTGGAATGCAGAGCATAAAGGCAGCAAAAATATCCCAATCCTGGAAGTTGAAAAAAAAAAATCGAAAGCTGTGAAGGAGAAGACATTTGAACAATCATAACCGGTACTGGGGTATTAATTCATTAACATACCCACGTTTTCTTCAGTTTAATTGAGATGTAAATGGTAAAGACAATTGAATATGTTTCAGGCAATTGAATATCCTCAAGTGGTAAGATTATAGTAATGTGTCCTCATTTCAATTGCACAATAAGTACTACACTTCAAGCAAATGTGTCTAACACCATTTAAGTAATTACATCAATACATAAATTTGTATGACTTGTACCCGCTGCAAAAATAATTATAAAATAATTCCACATTCCAAAAATATTCAAATATTTCCATAAATATATGCTTTAAATGTACAAACATGAGGCCTTTTTTGTACACATACCAAAACATATGCTACCATCACTTGTACCCAAAACTAAAAATATACTCCACATCATTCCACATTCCGAAATACTCCTATTTATGCGGTTGAAATTCAAAACTACTCTTTGACTACAACTCATTTTTATATAGTACAAGGAAGTGTGCACTTTGACTTAAATAAAGGTGGAACATAAGCTGATATGCAGATGAGCTTCTATTTATTGCGTCCTAAAAAACTAAACTTGTCAATTGAATTCCAAAAAACTAAGCCTATCAACCAGGCCATCTGACTCAGATTTTAATAAGTCCAAATTTAACCCATATAATTAGTACCACTTTCGGATTTTGAATTATGAATTTTGGGTTGATAAATATAAAACTCATACTTGACTCACAAAATATTCTACTATGAGCCTAATTTGGATTTAACCCAATATAATTATTAGAACTATTAAGTTTTAAAATTAATTTAATATTCATAGGACCACAACATTAAAACTTTTTTAAAACAAAAATTTGAAATTAATATTCATGACAGATAGCAGTAATACAACAGTGAGCTTGACTTGGTCCCTGCCAACTTTATCTAATACAACTTTAGAAACAGAAAGACGACATAGTTATAACATCATCAATGACATTCCTAATATTAGGGGTGATTTAGACGACATACAAAGGCAGGATTTAGTAATTATATATTTATTTGGATATAATTAAATACACCTATTATATAGATAATTATATATATAGGTATAAATTAACGGGTCAGGCATGTATCAAACTTGAGGCTGATAAAATTCAAACTTGGCTTGCATTTAATTCGGATCTCGTATTTAAGTTAAATTCAAGCTAAGTCAATGGAAGATTAGATTCATGGATCTTTTAATCAGGTTGAGTGGGCCCAACTAACTCGAGTCTAGGCCCTATCGACGGTCCTATCAAACAAACCCTTCATCTTAAAATAAATAAAAAATAAAAAAATTTACCTTGGGTATATTATGGCAAGTTACGAACGTTGTCAGAAACTTCACGCCTTTACCTAGAGTGCATAAATCCTCTAAGCTCAGATGTTTGGGCCTATAGGCTGGGATACAGAAGGCATGGTTTACTACCATTTCCATGCCTCCCTTTCATCGTATTATGGGCCAGCTCAACTTGGAACCCTTGTTTCTCGGCTTGTCTTTAAGCTCACTCGTTAACAAGAGAAAAACAAAAACTCACTTTTTTTTTTGGGGTCAAAATGTCACTAAAAGAAAAACTCACCTGGGCAAACAAAATTGGTCGCTTGGGGATTGTGTGCCTACTGTTCTCTCTTATGAAAAATTAAACATGATCTTTGTAAGAAAATGTTGGGAAGAATGAAAGTTTTTTTTTTTTAAAAAAAAGATGCAGTTTTTTTGAAAATTAAATGTGAATATCACTTATATTGATAATTACACGAAATAAACAAATCACCCATGATACAGTGTGTGCTTCTCACACAATGGATTAAAAAAAAAAAAATCTATGCAATGTTTACAACTGCTGAAACCCACAAATGTAGTGTCATAATTAAACCAAACTTTTCCAATGGTTAGAGATTATTATAGATCCAAGATTATTGTTCTTCGGCTCATTGAAGTTCGGATATGGTTAGAGATTTTCTTTTTCAAGTACTCATACGTGCATGGTTTGCTATTGAAACTAATAAATGTTTCTTCACTTCTTTGTTTCATGTTTCTTTCGTACTCAAAGGTTGTTTGCTCTAATACTTGAATCATGTGTTATAACTGGTCTTGATTAATGTACTTTCGCACTTATGCCCTAAACGTAGTTTGTTCGCAAGAATTTACTTTGATCATTAAGTGAAATTGAAATAAGAGTTTGTCCGTTCTAAAATGCATCATCCAAACCGAAACTACTAACCATCGTGAGACTAAAGGGCATTGTAGGATGTTACTCAGGATTATATGTGTGCGTCCTACAAAGACCTTTGCCTTGAGTACATTAGGGCGCGTTACGAGCATTGTCCGAAACTTCACGCCTTTTCCTTGAGTGCATTAAGGCGCGATATTCATCTAAGCTCAAAGGTTTGCACCTTTAGGCCGGGACGTAGGAAGCATGATACATTAGGTTGCATTTGGATTGATAGGAAAAGGCGTGAACAATACGTGTGTGTGTGTGTGTGTGTGTTTCGGCTCTTTCAATCTTTTTCTAGAATTATGCTCACTGCCTTTCTGCTCTTCCGTCCATCTTCAGGCCTCTAATTCTCTGGTAATTAATTCCTTTTCTACGGAATTTTATTAACTTGGGAAATTTCCTTCAAATATGTATGTAACATCACACACAGACACACACTTGTCCGCGTGTATCTGCGTGCGGCGTCGTTTATTCTGTCATTTTTTTTCCTGCCTAATTCATTGAAAGGGATTGATCTGAGGTTTTGATTAATTTGGGGTTCTGTTTGTTCACGATATTTTAGGTTTTATGAAGTAAATAAATAGCAATATGATTGTTTTTAAATTTATATTGTTATTCTTTTTTTTTTTTGCCCCCTTCTTTTTATCATTCAATAGGATATGTAGCTATGGAAACTGAATGAAAGCTGCTGAAGTTAACGAAATTCGAATGATTGAATAAATAGAAATGTGGGTTTTAAATTTTTTTTTTGGGTGGAATCTGTTTACTGGTATAAAATTAAAGAGCTAATTCATGAAGCAAAGAAATCCTGGGGAAGAAAAGGAGACATTTGGGGATAATTTGAAGAGGGGGAATGATGGACAAACCGAGCAACTTTCTTCGAGTTGTGGAGGCTTTACCTGTGCTGTTTCATGGCCAAATAACAACAAAGAGAAGAAAATTACTAGACAGTGTATATTATTTAAATAAATATTTACCTCAACAAGTAACTGAATAGAGATTGCCCTAGATAACGAGACAATGGTTGATTAATAGAAAATTGTTGAGTCGAATGTTTACTAGTTGGACATTGTTATTGTAGCTGATAGGGGTGGTGTCGCATATGGTCGAAACAAAAGGTAAAACAGGAAATCAACTTTTTGATAAAGTAGGGTTTGGTAAGAAAATTACGTTGAGTAGCTTTTAGTTGTGTGATAGATGTCCTTTGGGTTTCATTTTTCGCTCTAGTTTAGAGTAAATATGATAATTCGGTGCATTTGGATTTCGTTCTGTCACTGAGGAAGTCTCAACTGGAATTTTCTTTTTGTTTTCTTTGAGTACAAGCATAGAGATTTGTTTTCATGAGAACTGCATGCACGAGCTGAGATGAAAGGTATTTCTTCAAAATTTGGATTATCTTAGAGGGTTTATGCCTTTGGAGAGTGATGATCCCAATGCATGATACCTGTAGGGGAAAATTTTGGGCGTGCAGTACCTCTTGCTTCTGATTAGCAATGAGTGGATTGATATTAGCTTACTAGGTTCAAGTCCTTGGCTTTTTTTTTTGGTTTACAGAACCAGTGAAAAATATTGTAATAATTTGATGTATACATGGTAAAAAAGTGATTAGAAAATGTGGACATGAAAAAAATTCTTTGAAAAACTTCAATCTGAACAAGGCCAAATCCAAGCCACTCCACCCTACTTTGGGCTGACTCAACTTAAAGCCCATGCATCTTGAGTTCTAAGTTGTAACTTAACTCACTCAATTAAACAAACTAAAAGAAATATGAAATCAGTTGCATTTGGATTACTATTTTTTAAAATTTTTATTGAAAAATATACTGTAATGATTTAATATATGCGAGATAAAAATGTAATTAAAAAATATGAACCAAAGGTCAGCTCAACTTAGAGCCCTTGCATCTTGAGTTCTAACTTGTAATTAATATCACTTAAATAAACAAACCAAAAGAAATATGAAATCTAAATGAAGGCATCAAAAATTGGTCACATTGGGATTGTACATCTACTTTTCTCTCTTATGGAAAATTAAACTTGACCTTCGTAAGGAAAATGTTAGGAAAAAGGAAAAAAAAAAAAAAAGAAAAGGAAGCAGCAGCTTTTGAAAATTGAATATGAAAATTACTTAATATTAATATTTACATTAACAAAAAAAGTAAAATGTACAATGTGTTTTTTTCACACAATAGTGGAGCACTCTAAAGTGTTAGGGTCAACAAGGGCAGGCAAAAGATACTTTCTCCCATTTGTACCCACTGCATTGTAGCTTGCACCAGTGGTTTTATCCCATTTGTACCCACGCATAACATTGACTTTGTAGTCAAATTTTAATTTAATGAATAAGAAAGTGTAAGATTTCTTTTTTCTTTTAACTAAGTTGGAAAATATTTGTTTTTCAAGAATATGACTATGTAAAAAGCATCAAATTTTGCACTGCCCAAGTTGCCCTTGAATGATTCTGATGATGCATGGTATCGTACATCTTATGCCTTGCAGATGCCAGTTATTTGACAAATGGATATCTAGATACTGTTCTAGACTGGATTCCAGAATTAGAGGGTATACGCTTGAAGGATCTTCCAAGCTTCTTACGAACCACGAATCCCGATGATTTTATGGTGAAATTCGTCCTGCAAGAAACTCAGAGAGCTAGAAAGGCTTCTGCCATCATTATAAACACCTATCAACAACTCGAACATGGTGTATTAGATGCACTTTCATCTTATCTTCCACCAATTTACACCATTGGACCACTACACTTCCTTGATAATCATGTGCATGATAAGTCTTTACCAGATATTCAATCAAATCTCTGGAAGGAAGAGCCAGAATGTCTTGAATGGCTTGATTTGAAAGATCCAAACTCTGTGGTTTATGTCAACTTTGGAAGCATTGCTGTTATGACACCTGAGCAACTAGTCGAATTTGCTTGGGGACCCGACTTGCTAATAGCAAACGAAACTTTTTGTGGATTTTAAGGCCAGATCTTGTCTCAGGCAGTTCTGCTATTCTGCCAAGTGAGTTTTTTGAAGAAACCAAAGAAAGAAGCATGTTTGCAGGCTGTTGCCCTCGAGAAAGTTCTCAGCCATCCTTCTGTTGGAGGATTCTTAACTCATAGTGGGTGGAATTCCACAATCGAAAGTATTAGTTATGGGGTGCCTTTGTTCTGCTGGCCATTTTTTGCTGATCAACAAACTAATTGCTGGTTTTGCTGCAATAAATGGGGTATTGGAATGGAGATAGACAATAATGTCAAGAGGGATGACATTGAAAGCCTTGTTAGCGAGTTAATGGCTGGGGAGAAGGGCAAGGAAATGAAGAAGAAAGCCATGGACCGGAAAAAACTGGCAGAAATGGCTGTGACAGATTCTAACTCAAATCTTGAGAATTTGATTCTGTTGTATATTTCAAAAGATTTGTTACTACACGTGTTATTTTAAAACTCATGGTCATGCTCTGACAATTTCATACTCTATCAGGTAGTTTCTATCGGATAAAGTTGTTGGCATGCACATGGGTTTAAACCGAAACGTAGAGCATTATGTTATCCCACAACTTTCAAACAAACAAAGTTAAAGCTTGTGACAGGTTGTCGAAGCCTGTGCAATAATAAATACCTGCTCAAACTAAAAATAATTTCTGTAGATAGTGGTGAGCAGGGTCGAATCCACAGGGACTGGGAGTAATTGTTTCTTTTCAAGTTCACAGTGACAAAGGGGGTGTTTTATATCAGGAGTGACAATTTAACCAATCCAACTAAAAATAAAATGATAAAAATAAAATAGCCAACTAGAAATTAAATAACAATTTACTAAAATCTAATAAGTGGTAATTAAGGATCTAGCCAAGAAATAACTTCAGCAATGGTTCACCTAATTGATCATCGATCAGCAAAGGCAATTCCAATTATTCATCAATAAATAAGTTATAACTACCAAACAAACGATGGCAGTCAACCCCTTCTTACTGTGTCGGTGATTAAGGTACGCCCGTTAATCACTGCTCTAATTGAGAAATAATCCTAGGTACGCCCGTAAGATTTAATTCCCCAATTGCCTTACGTATTAGAGGAGCCCTATTCTAACCAAATAACGCACTACCAGGGTTATTTTAGATTAGCCCGCGTATTCCCCTGACACAAATCCAATCATGCCAGTTATCACTATTTTGAGACAATTAAACAATTACGGATTTAACGTCCCAATTGATAATAGATTATCAAATTAACTAATTATCCGGATCCAAGACAACCAATTAATTAAACAATCATAAGCACTGTAACCAGGAAATATGCGAATACCAATAAATAAAAGAAAAAAATAAAATTAAATCGATCTCACAATTTTAGGCGACCCAAAGCATCCGTTGTCCCTTGGCTAGGGTGAGGAAATTAGTTCATAGTTGATGAACAAAATCCACAAGAAATTAAAGCAAAAGCTGCGGCCATCAATTCGGAAGTTGGGCGAATTCAATTCGTCTATTCAATAAAGAAAGAAAGCTACAAAAGGTACTTCATAGTTTTCCTTCGGTCTGGACATCCGCAGGAAGCAAACCACTAAAAGACGAAAAAGGAAAAGTCACAAGCTAAAACTAAGAATTGCTTCCTCCTGACATGCGTGGAGAAAAGCAATGAAAAGCTAGGAAGAAAAGTCAAAGTGAAGCTAGAAAAAGATAGTGCTTGTTCTCTGCAATCTAATAGTTTCTATCCTAATGGCCTATTGCTACTGTCTGGCCTTGTGCAGCGGCCCCCTTCCGGAGAGGAAGCAGCTCCCCCTTTTCCTGCGCAAGTTTTCTATATAAAGTAGTGCCCTTGCGGCGGCTCCTGTGCGGGAAAATGAAGACTTGCCCAATTTGCCCAACAAGGGCTCATGTTTTGTTGTTCCAAAAATGCCCTAGGACAAACTCTATCATCTGAACTCTTTTCTTGCCAAATTAGCACCTGTTATTATATTTTCGTTCTATTCCCTGAAATAAATGCAAAATATCAAAAGTGAGTAGAATCTAGCAATTAATCCACATTAGGTCAGGTAATAGGAAAAATTAATAATAAAATAAATGATAAAATTGCAACCTATCAGCTTGGAATTGGTTTGTTTGACTCTTTCCAAAGGCTCTAACGTTTAAAGCTTATAACGTTCCTTGAAGTTTGTTTGACTATTTCCAAAGGCTTTGAAATTGCATGTGTCCTGATTTTTCTAAACAAACAAAGAGATAATATCTATTCTTTACTAACGCTTTACAGAGGCTATAAATAGAGGCCTTGGGCAGATTCATTTGTATGGCACGACACACACATTGTAATTCTCAACTTCTACCCTCTACTCTCTCTACTCCCTCTCTCGCTTATTGCTGGACTAAAAATTAGCTGGTTCAAATTCCCTCTTGATAGAAGAGGAAGGCTTGTTTAATCATGGGGAAACATTTCAATACACCTGAAATAGTTTCTTAGGAAAGTGTTCTTCAAACACGACTCAAGTTTGTTCAATTCATTTGTATTTTCGTGTTAACACTGTTCGCCACTTTTCCTACAATCTAAGAAACTATGGCATCTGACAGTGTTATCACCCCACAACCTTCATCCACGGCCGTTGCAGTTGCACTACCATTCGCCAAGCCATTTCCGGATATCTCCAGAGTTAAAGTCTTTGCCAATGAAAATTTCAAAAGGTGGCAAGAACGAGTACACTCACTACTCGACATCCATGGAGTGGCCTATGCACTGACGGAGTCCCAGCCTGCTTCAACCACAGATGTCAAAACACAAGAATCATGGCAATATGCCAATAAGGTATGTAGGCATACTATTTTGCAAACGCTTTCAAATGAACTGTTTGACGTGTACTGTAGCTGTAAGAAGGCCAAAATAATTTGGGAAGCCTTGGTAACAAAATTCACCGCTGAAGATGCAACCAAACAAAAGTTCGTCATTGGAAGATACAATCAATGGCAGATGACGGAAGACAAAGAAATGAAAGTCCAAATCACGGAATACCAGATGCTACTCGAGGACTTGAAAAGTGAAGACATCAATTTGCCTGAAAAATTTGCAGCAAGCATGCTAATTGAAAAATTGCCCGAGTCGTGGATTGACTACAAAAACAACCTGAAGCACAAGCAGAAAAACTACACTATTGATGAGCTCGTGAAGCACATTCTCATTGAAGATGCCAACAAGAAAGAAATGAGAGCTGCCAGAGCTAAAGAAATGAGTCTCAATGCGAACCTGATACGAAGCAACGTTCAAAACAACAACAACAAGAACAAAAGGTACGCCAATAAATCCCAAAATTACAAGCCCAACAATCCCAACTTTAAGAGAAAGAAAGGCAATTGCTATTATTGTGAAAAATCAGGACATCATTTGGCCCAATGTAGACACAATAAAGGTGACAAAGCAAATGTTAATCCTCCTAAGGTGCACCTAACCGAAGGAGATGATATAATTGCTGCTGTCATATCCCAAGTGTACATTGCAGCTAATGTAAAAGAGTGAGTGGTAGACTCTGAGGCTACTCGACACATATGTGCAAGTCGAGAAGCATTTTCCTCCTATACTTCTATAGGGGATGATGAAGAAGTGGTTTACCTTGGTGACTCACGAACTGTTAAAGTTTTGGGTAAGGGCAAAGTACTCTTGAAACTCACTTCAGGAAAAACTTTGGCTCTTATTGATGTGCTGCATGTGCCAAACATTCAGGCAAATCTGGTTTCCGTAGCTTTGCTAGGAAAAGTTGGAGTGAAAGTGTCATTTGAATCTGGCAAGATTATAATGACCAAAAATAATGTATTTGTGGGCAAAGGCTATTGTAATCAGGGACTCTTTGTACTCAACATTTCTGATGTGATCAATGAAAATGCATCTTCTTCTGCTTATATTGTTGATTCCATTTCTTTATGGCATGCTAGATTAGGACATGTTAATATTGGTTATATAAAGAAAATGCAATCATGTGGCCTAATTTCTGGTATTAATGATAATATGGACAAATGTGAAATATGTGCAGAAGCTAAAATAACAAAGAAAAATTGTATAACTGTCCATAGAGAAACTGAATTATTAAATTTAATTCATACTGATTTAGGTGAATTAAAACAAACAATGACTAGAGGTGGGAAAAGGTACTATGTCACTTTTATAGATGACTATTCTAGATATATCAAAGTTTATTTACTTAGAAATAAAGATGATACTTATAATGCCTTTTTATCCTATAAGTCTGAATTAGAAAATCAACTTAATAAAAGGATAAAAAGAATTAGATCAGATAGGGGTGGAGAATATTTAACTTTAGATAACCTTTGTGAACAGGAAGGCATAATACATGAAATAACTCCACCTTATACACCAGAATCTAATGGAGTAGCTGAAAGAAAAAATAGAACGTTAAAAGAAATGATGAACTCTATGTTAGTTAGTTCTCATGCTCCAGATAATTTATGGGGAGAAGCTATATTATCTGCATGTCACTTACAAAATAGAATTCCACATAAAAAGACTGGCAAAACACCTTATGAGTTATGGAAAAATTATAAACCAAATTTGAAATATTTAAAAGTTTGGGGGTGTCTTGCTAAAGTCTTGTTGCCTGAACCTAAGAAAAGGAAAATAGGTTCTAAAACTTCTGATTGTATGTTTATTGGATATGCTGAACATAGTGCTGCATATAGATTTCTTGTGTAAAGAAATGATATGCTTGATTGTAATACAATTATAGAGACAAAAAATGCTGAATTTTTTGAACATATTTTTCCGCTATCGAATAAAATTTCTCATGCACCTGTTGAAGTAAATAGAGAAATAGTCTCAAATGAGGAATTGAGAAGGAATAAAAGGGCAAGAAAAGAATTTTCTTTTGGAAATGACTTTCAAACCTTTCTTGTTGACAATAATCCTTTAACTTATTCTGATGCTATTTCTTCTTCTGATAATAAACTTTGGAAAGAAGCAATTAAAGCTGAATTTGATTCTATTATGAACAATAAAACTTGGATTTTGGTAGATTTACCAACTGGTGCAAAACCTATTGGTTGCAAATGGATTTTTAAAAGGAAATATAATTCCGATGGCTCTATAGATAAATATAAAGCTCGTTTAGTGGCCAAAGGATTTTCTAAAAAACAGAATATTGACTATTTTGACACATTTGCACCAGTAACAAGAATTTCTTCTATTCGGGTTTTATTTGCTTTGGCTTCTATCCATAAACTTTTCGTTCATCAAATGGATGTCAAAACAGCTTTTCTAAATGGTGATTTAGAAGAAGAAATTTATATGACTCAACCTGAGGGATGTGTTGTGTCTGGACAAGAAAATAAAGTTTGTAAATTAGTAAAATCTCTTTATGGCATAAAACAAGCTCCTAAACAGTGGCATGAGAAGTTTGATCAAGTTTTGATACGAGACGGTTTTTCGTCTGTAGAAGTGGATAAATGTGTATAT